CAATTGCATTTTCAATAATTTTATTTTAAAACTTTTATCCTCATTTTTGTTGTCCTCTGTGGATTCAACCAAAATTCGTTGATTATTTTTAAAATCAGAAAAACAAAAAGTAAATATTAAAAATAATATTTGATTAAAAAATAAAAATTTAATAGAAATCATTTTACAAAAAATTTTCTAATTAATGAATTTTTATAAGTAACTTTTTATTGCTTAACATTTAATTGAGAAATATTTTCCTTTGATTAAATTCACATGAAAAAATACATTAACATAAATTAAAAACAATTATTTCAAAATAATTAGCCTTGAGTATTGCCTAATATTTTGTACTTTTTGGGTACAAAATTATGCACCTTTCATATGATGTAATTTTATGATTGCGGCACTTTTCTTTTATTTTTAAATAAAATGGATTAAACTACATAGTATGTACATATACTACATAATTAAGTTTAAATGGATTAAACTATAACCTCCTATTTTTAAATGTAGTTCTAACTAGAGGTACTAACTAAAGGTATTGACTCAACTTATGTATCTATTGAGCATAAATAAAAAAAATAGTTAGAGCCTGAACTGAAGCTTCGGTTTGTAGTTTTTGATTTAATATTGACATCAAAATCGAACTGTGTGAAGCTCAATTTATATTGAGCAGCTCAGCTTACTAACAAATTTAAATTCTCTAATTTAAGCACACCCTATGAGAGTATTGAAATAGCGTTTTGCGTTTGGCTTGCTTAAAAATTTGAAAAATTGCATTTATCGTTATGCCTTAAAAAACATTTTGGTGCACAGCCATGTTTGCCTCACTTCAATTTACTTCCAGCCTTTCGTTGGAAGCAGGTGTAATTACTAGTTTATAAATAATCACTAAATATTTTTAGACGCGATTCCCACAGACTCTGATTCCCACATTAATTTACCATTTTTTCCAAAAATTTGAAGATTATTGAACCTAACATTTTTTAAATATCGAAATACAAATTTAACTATTTATTCTGAAACCATTAGAAAATATATTAATAAAAATTTTAACACACTTCAATTACTGAAATTTATAAACGAAAGGAAAGATTTTAAAGGAATTTCTTAAATTTTTTTCTGCTACATTTAGTTTTTATTTATTAAAATTTATTATTTCGTTATTCGAATCATCCTTTCTCTCAACTTCTCTTGTTATTCCTTCTTTGTCTAAATAAAATTCATAAATCCTTTCATTTAGATATGGCTCTATTGAAGCAATGTTATTATTTATTTGACAATTAATTGACAAAAATTTTTTATAAATATTCATTTGACCATCCTCAATATTATCAATTTCTGTTTTTGTTACGCAAATTGATAGGTAACGTCTTAAATTTTCTAATACTTTTTTCTCCACAACATCCATTTTCTTGAAAATTTTAAAGACACATTTTTCCTCATTTTCCTTTCCAATTTTAACGTAAAATTGAATAAAACCGGCATTGGATGGATTCGCGATAATTACAAAATAATTGGCTCGATTTTCAAATTTTACACAAATTTCAATATGAGAATATTCCATTTCCTTTTTATATTTATTTCTATTTAATGAAAATGGCTCAATTAAATTAACTTTGCCAAACTTTTCTCTTCTTAAAATTTTTCTAGTTCCTTCCAGATTCAGAAAACATACTAATCTTGTCAATTTATATTTCTTTTCAATTATTGTTTGTAATCTTGTTTTCACCCCGTTTATGTCTATATATTTACTATCATGAACATAATTACTTGGAAGATTATCAAATGACAGTTGATTTGCGTCCAACTCGATTTGTGCTTTAAATATTGGTAGCAATGTCATTAATTCCTATAAATAATAGATAAGAAATTTTAAAAAACTGATTTTGACTTTAGGTGAGAAGCTTGATCAGATTCTTAAACTTGAGTCAAGAATCTGTCAAGATACCATCAAAATGCTTGATCTGGACTCTTGAACCATGAAAAATAAAGTTTTGGGCCCAGATCCAGGCCGATCTATAAAAACCACTGTCGCGGGCGCACATTGAGACAATGTACAATGTTCCCTCGTGAAATATCACTACTTGGCCGCGTGCCATTCCTTTCCCATACAATAATAAATAGGTATATTTTTTATACTAACTTTCGCCATCTTATTCTTTTGCAGGCTCTGAAGATAGCTATCGCCATCAAAGCCAAGATAACTTCCCCAGACTACATATTGGACGGAAGTAAGCATATGACTGCCCAAAACCCAGGCCGCCATTCAATATAAAAAATTGTTACTATAGGCCATAAAAGCTACAATAGTGCCATCAATTGTTAATAAAGTCTAATCGTGTCATTGATTGTTAAAGCCGTCGAGCTTTTTATAAATTAAGATAAAAATTTCTATTGCTGACAACTAATTATTTCTGCTATTAATATTCAAACTTCGGAATACAACAGTAACTAATCCGTCTAGATCAGACAATTTCGCGCTAGTTATTAAAAGCCAAGATTTCCAGACCTATCAGCATAAACAAAAAGAAAATTCTTGGGCTTTTGATACCATTATATGTATATTCCAAAATTCATCACAATAAAAGTAATTTAAAAGTTAATAACCTTTCGAGTATTTATGTCATTGTTATCCACAAATTCTAAGCAGATTGTTATTCCCCATCTATATCTTCTAAAAATATCTTTCCCGATTAGTATCAATCTGTTCCTATCTCCACCTGTATTATCCTTTACAGCATCACTAGAAATGTGTTTAGATAAATCGCATTTGTATAAACTTGGATTTACAAAAAATTTATTGTTTAAATTTTTTTCATTAATTTCAAGTAAAATTCCAATTTTATATGGTCCACTTCCTTCTTCCATTTCAAACAATTGCATTTTCAATAATTTTATTTTAAAACTTTTATCCTCATTTTTGTTGTCCTCTGTGGATTCAACCAAAATTCGTTGATTATTTTTAAAATCAGAAAAACAAAAAGTAAATATTAAAAATAATATTTGATTAAAAAATAAAAATTTAATAGAAATCATTTTACAAAAAATTTTCTAATTAATGAATTTTTATAAGTAACTTTTTATTGCTTAACATTTAATTGAGAAATATTTTCCTTTGATTAAATTCACATGAAAAAATACATTAACATAAATTAAAAACAATTATTTCAAAATAATTAGCCTTGAGTATTGCCTAATATTTTGTACTTTTTGGGTACAAAATTATGCACCTTTCATATGATGTAATTTTATGATTGCGGCACTTTTCTTTTATTTTTAAATAAAATGGATTAAACTACATAGTATGTACATATACTACATAATTAAGTTTAAATGGATTAAACTATAACCTCCTATTTTTAAATGTAGTTCTAACTAGAGGTACTAACTAAAGGTATTGACTCAACTTATGTATCTATTGAGCATAAATAAAAAAAATAGTTAGAGCCTGAACTGAAGCTTCGGTTTGTAGTTTTTGATTTAATATTGACATCAAAATCGAACTGTGTGAAGCTCAATTTATATTGAGCAGCTCAGCTTACTAACAAATTTAAATTCTCTAATTTAAGCACACCCTATGAGAGTATTGAAATAGCGTTTTGCGTTTGGCTTGCTTAAAAATTTGAAAAATTGCATTTATCGTTATGCCTTAACAAACATTTTGGTGCACAGCCCTGTTTGCCTCACTTCAATTTACTTCCAGCCTTTCGTTGGAAGCAGGTGTAATTACTAGTTTATAAATAATCACTAAATATTTTTAGACGCGATTCCCACAGACTCTGATTCCCACATTAATTTACCATTTTTTCCAAAAATTTGAAGATTATTGAACCTAACATTTTTTAAATATCGAAATACAAATTTAACTATTTATTCTGAAACCATTAGAAAATATATTAATAAAAATTTTAACACACTTCAATTACTGAAATTTATAAACGAAAGGAAAGATTTTAAAGGAATTTCTTAAATTTTTTTCTGCTACATTTAGTTTTTATTTATTAAAATTTATTATTTCGTTATTCGAATCATCCTTTCTCTCAACTTCTCTTGTTATTCCTTCTTTGTCTAAATAAAATTCATAAATCCTTTCATTTAGATATGGCTCTATTGAAGCAATGTTATTATTTATTTGACAATTAATTGACAAAAATTTATTATAAATATTCATTTGTCCATTTTCAATATCATCAATTTCTGTTTTTGTTACGCAAATTGATAGGAAACTTCTTAAATTTTTCAATATTTTTTCCTCCAAAACTTCCATTTTATTAAAAATTTTAAACACACATTTTTCCTCATTTTCCTTTTTAATTTTAACGTAGAATTGAATAAAACCGTCAATGAATGGATTCGCAATGATTACAAAATAATTGCCAGGATTTTCAAATTTTACACAAATTTCAATGTGAGAATATTCCATTTCCTTTTTATATTTATTATTTTTTAGTGAAAATGGCTCAATTAAATTAATTTTACTAAGCTTCTCTCCTTTTAATATTTTCCTAGTCCCTTCCAGATTCAGAAAACATACTAATCTTGTCAATTTATATTTCTTTTCAATTATTGTTTCTAATCTTGTTTTCACTCCGTTTATGTCTATATATTTACTATCATGAACATAATTACTTGGAAGATTATCAAATGACAGTTGATTTACGTTCAACTCGATTTGTGCATTAAATATAGGTATCAATGTCATTAATTCCTAAAAATACAAGAGTTAGGAAATTTAAAAAAACGTGATCTTTACTTTAGTTGAGGAAATTGACATCTTGTTCTTTAATCAAGGAAAAATCAATTGACCTTAAAAATGCCTTGATCTGGACTATGAATCCATGAAAAATCAAGTTCTGAGTCCAGATCCAGGCCGATCTCTAATTAAAACATATGGAATGTTGAGGGATTTGCTACTGATAGCTAGGGATCAAGTATTGTATTGGATAAATATAAGAAAGTTGAATGGCCATCCCTGATATGTACTATATCCAAAATTCTGCCACAATAAAACTAATTTAAAAATTAATAACCTTTCGAGTATTTATGTTATTATTATCCACAGAATATAAACAAATAGTTATTCCCCGTCTGTATCTTCCATAAATATCATTTCCAATTAGTGTTAATTTGTTCCTATCTCCACCCGTATTATCCTTTACAATTTTTGTGGAAATATCTCTAGATAAATCGCATTCGTATAAACTTGGATTTACAAAAAATTTATTGTTCAAATTTTTTTCATTAATTTCAAGTAAAATTCCAATTTTATATGGTCCCCTTTCTTCTCTCATTACATCCATCTCCATGCTCAATAATTTTATTTTGAAACTTTTATCCTCATTTTTGTTGTCCTCTGTGGATTCAACCAAAATTCGTTGATTATTTTTATAATCAGAAAAACAAAAAGTAAATATTAAAAATAATATTTGACAAAAAAATAATAATTTAATAGAAAACATTTGACAAAAAAATATATTTTTTAAATTTTGTTCAGTGAAAAAATTTTTTTTTAATTATTTAAAGCTTAATGAATTTTATAAGTAACTTTTTATTGCTTAACATTTAATTGAGAAATATTTTTCTTTGATTAAATTCACATGAAAAATACATTAACATAAATTAAAAACAATTATTTCAAAATAATTAGTCTTGAGTATTGCCTAATATTTTGTACTTTTTGGGTACAAAAATATGCACTTTTCATATGATGTAATTTTATGATTGCGGCATGACTTTCATTTCTTTTAATTTTAAATAAAGCCGAATAAGTTAAATAATTTTGTTTCTTGATTTGTTTTTTCTTAGAAACGAAAAACAATTATTGTAAAAAACCGTTTGAGCTGGACAAGTCGGGCTCTATAGCTAGAGCCTGACAAAAAGCTATGGTCTGTAATGTTTTCCTGAAGCGCTAAAAAGGAAGACTTATGTGTATATCAGAGAACTTGAATAGAGTTAGGTGGATTTTAGTGATATCCGGATATTTCAAGGGATCTAAGGGAATAACGATTCAAATCCTCTGATATACACATAAGTCTTCCTTTTTAGAACCTCATGAAAAAATTACAGACCAAAGCTTTTTGTCAGGTGAATCAGGCTCTAGCTCAAACGGTTTTTTACAATAATTGTTTTTCGGTTCTAAGAAAAAACAAATCAAAAAACATAATTATTTAACTTATTCGGCTTTATTTAAAATTAAAAGAAAACGATAATTACATTATTTGAAAAGTTTCCAGCTTTTCGCTGGAAGCAGGTGTAATTACTAGTTTATGAATAATCGCTAAATATTTTTAGAGCTAACTATGGGACTATTTTATGTGATTTTGTCATTAAGTTAGTTTTTTCCAAAAATTGAAGATTATCGAACCTAACATTTTCTATGTAACGAAATACAAGGTTTAATATTTATTTGAGCACATTAGAAAAAATTTGAAAAAAAATATTAACACACTTCAGTTAAAGGAAAGTTTTAAAGAAATTTCTTAAATTTTTTCTCTGCTACATTTTATTTTTTATTTATTAAAATTTATTATTTCGTTATACAAATCAACCATTTTCTCAACTTCTCTTGTTATTCCTTCCTTGTCCAAATAAAATTCATAAATCCCTTCATTTAGATATGGATTAATTGAAGCAATAAACTCTGTAATTATACAACTATTTGAAAACCATTTATTATAGACATTCATTTGACCATCTTCAATAGCATTAATTTCTGTTTTTCTTACGAAAATTGATAGGGAACGTCTTAAATTTTTCAATATTTCTTTCTCCACAACATCCATTTTCTTGAAAATTTTAAACACACATTTTTCCTCATTTTCCTTTTTAATTTTAACGTAGAATTGAATAAAACCGTCATTGGATGGATTCGTAATACTTACAAAATAATTGCCCGGATTTTCCAATTTTATACAAATTTCAATGTGAGAATATTCCGCTTTATATTTATTTCCAGTTAAAGAAAATGGCTCAATTAAATTAATTTTACTAAGCTTCTCTCTTTTTAAAATTTTCCTAGTTCCTTCCAAATTCAAAAAACATATTAATCTTGACAATTTATATTTGCTTTTAACGTTTTTTTGTAATCTTGTTCTTACCCCGTTTATGTCTATATTTTTACTAGTATACACATAAAAACGTGGATGATTATCAAATGACAGTTGATTTGCGACCAATTCGATTTGTGCTTTAAATATATGTAGCAATGTCATTAATTCCTAAAAATGATAATGATAGAAAATTTTTAAAAACTTTAAACGTAACTTTATATTTAGGACCTTGACCCGATTCTTGACCTTGAGTCAGGAACAATCAAGCGATCCTGAAAATTCCTTGATTTGGACACTGGAACCATGAAAAATCAAGGTCTATGTCCAGATCAAGTCCATTCTCTAAATTAGAGTTCAGCGGTATCGGGATTTAGAGAAAAAAAACTGGGATCGGGGTTTTGGAATGGTGATACCGATCCCGGATCCCGACACGGGATCGGGATTGACCAATTTCGGGATCAGTATTCGTCATTCGGTCTCGTGATCCGAAAAATCGGGATAATCCCGCCCGATCCCGAACGGGATCCCGATCCCGCTGAACTCTACTCTAAATACCACTAAATATGTATATATTCCAAAATTTATCCACAATAAAAATAATTTAAAAATTAATAACCGTTAAATTATTGTTATCCACAAATTCTATACAGATTGTTATTCCTTGTCTGTATCCTCCATAAAGATCATTCACAATTAGCAAAAATTTGTTCCTATCTCCACCTGTATTAACAGGCTTTACAACATTTATGGTAATTCTGCATCCGAAATGTTCTGGATTTACAAAAAATTTATTGTTTACAAATTTTTCATTAATTTCGAGTAAAATTTCAATTTTATATGGTCCCCTTCCTTCTTCCATTACATCCATTTCTATGCTCAATAATTTTATTTTAAAACTTTTATCCTCATTTTTGTTATTTTCTGTGGATTCAACCAAAATTCGTTGATTATTTTTATAATCAGAAAAACAAAAAGTAAATATTAAAAATAATATTTGATTAAAAAATAAAAATTTAATAGAAAACATTTGACAAAAAATATATGTATTTTTTTTTAAATTTTGTTTAGAAGAAAAATTTTTTTTAATTATTTTAAACTTAATGAATTTTATAAGTAACTTTTTATTGCTTAACATTTAATAATATTGAGAAATATATTTTTCCTTAATTAAATTCACATGAGTACATTAATTTAAATTAAAAACAATTATTTCAAAATAATTAGTCTTGAATATTGTCTAATATTTTGTACTTTTTGGGTACAAAATTATGTACTTTTCATATCGTACCTAAACTCGTACTTGCTCGTACTTGATGGAAATAAGTGTACGAAGTCAAAAATATGGAAGGTACGGAATACAAGCAAAAAAGTAAAAAGAAAAGTACAGAAAAGTACATAATTTTGTATCCAAAAAGTACAAAATATTAGACAATATTCAAGACTAATTATTTTAAAATAATTGTTTTTAATTTATATTAATGTACTCATGTGAATTTAATTAAAGAAAAAATTTCTTAAATGTTGAGAAATACAAAAATTGAATACAAAAATGAATCACTTATAAAAACAGACCATTCATTAAGCTTTAAATAATTATATAAAATTTTTTTCACTAAACAAAATTTAAAAAATATATTTTTTTGTTAAATGATTTTTATTAAATTTTTATTTTTTAATCAAATATTATTTTTAATATTTACTTTTTGTTTTTCTGATTATAAAAATAATCAACGAATTTTGGTTGAATCCACAGAGGACAACAAAAACGAGGATAAAAGTTTGAAAATAAAATTATTGAAAATGCAATTGTATGAAATGGGTGAAAGGAAACCATATATAATTAAAATTTTACTTGAAGTTAATGAAAAAAATTTGAACAATAAATTTTTTGTAAATCCAAAAACGTACGAATGCAATTTATCTAAACTTATTCCTAAAAACTTTGTAAAAGTTACAGGGGGAGTTTGGAATATTACACTAATTGGGAGAAATATTTTTGAGGGATACAGATGGGGAATAACGATTTGTTTAGAATCTTTGGATAATTTTAATATAAATCGAAAGGTTATTAGTAATATTAAAATTGTTTTTAGTATTTTTGATAAATTTTGGAATAGATACCTACAGGGGTCATCCTCCACAGGGGTCACAGGGGTCCAACCAGGCCTCCACAGGAGTCCAACAGGGGTCACCTACAGGGGTCATCCCTTAGCGTCCAATGAAAAGTTTATGCGTCCAAACAAATTTTTATGCGTCCAATCACATTTATCTGCGTTAAACTACGCGACAAGTACCTAGTTCTGCATTTTAGAACCCCTGGTCAGGTATCTTGTCTTGTGTACCATAACTCTTGGTGAGCATATCTTCATATTCGCATAGATTTTAGGAACTAAGGTGCAGAACAGGGCACCTATCTTCATTGTTTGAACTAGGGTTGGTCCCCGAGCCTTCGGGGTTGAAAAAGTCGGGGGTCGGGGTTTTCGGGGTTGACAAAGTCGGGGTCGGGGTCGGGGTTGCTCAAATTGTTCGGGGTCGGGGTCGGGGCTGAAAATAATGTCGGGGTTCGGGGTCGGGGTCGGGGGTCGGGGTTGTAGTGAAAATTTACAAAATCCAGCATTTTCATCCAACATTACTGTTCAAAATCAACATTTTTATTAAAAAAATCAACTTAATCTTCATTATCTTCACTTTCTATATCTAATTCGTTATTAGTTGAAGGCGCAAGAATTACTTTATCCAAGTTATCCTTCATAATCACCAAAATCCCCAAACCCACAAGGTAACTCTTACTCCCCCTCTTATGTAAAGGGGTTGAGGGGATATGAAGGCGCCGCAGGCAAAAATTTTGAGAATTTTGGAAGGTCAAGAGCCAGATTTCTTCCATTTTCGGCGCCGCAGGCAAAAATTTTGAGAATTTTGGAAGGCCAAGAGACAGATTTCTTCCATTTTCTGACCCAAGGCGAAAATTTTGGAAAATTCATGACTAGTTTAAAATTTCTAAAATTTTTCAAGTTTAAAATATTAAAAAATAAATTTGCAAATTTAAAATCAAGATCAAAGTTTAAAAATATTTATTTTTGAGAAGAAAAACTTTCTCAGCCTCATTTCCATCCATGGATTCGAACAACATCCCTATCAAAATAGATAGATGGGTGAAGTCAGTTAACCTAACCACACAACCACCGACCAACATAAGGAAACAGGAGAAAATATAAATATTCCTTTCCCTTTTCATATATTTAACATCAAAGTCCCGATCCCGTTCCGATCTCTAGTTAATTAATACAGTTTGAGTCGGGGGCATAAAAATTTTTCGGGGTTCGGGGTCGTCGGGGTCGAACTTTCGGGGGTCGGGGTTTTCGGGGTTGGGAATGTCGGGGTCGGGGTTTTAGGTCAAAAAATGTCGGGGTTCGGGGTCGGGGTCGGGGTTAGTCGGGGTCGGGGACCAACCCTAGTTTGAACGTATAAAAATATTTTTTGGACGTATAATCAGTGGACGCGTAATCTGGACAAAGCCATAGTTTTTAGGAATTAATGACATTGCTACCTATATTTACTGCACAAATCGAGTTGGAAGCAAATCAACTGTCAGTTGTTAATCATCCAAGTTTTTTAATTTATAATAGTAAAAACATAGACATAAACGGGGTGAGAACAAGATTAGAAACAAAAGTTCAAAGCAAATATAAATTGTCAAGATTAATATGTTTTTTGAATCTGGAAGGAACTAGGAAAATTTTAAAAAGAGAAAAGTTTCGAAAAGTTGGGAATTTAATTGAGCCATTTTCACTAACTAGAAATAAATATAGAGAGGAATATTCTCACATTGAAATTTGTATAAAATTTAAAAATCCTGGCAATTATTTTATTGTTATTGCGAACCCATTCATTGACGGTTTTATTCAATTTTACGTTAAAATTGGAAAGGAAAATGAGGAAAAATGTGTGTTCAAAATTTTTAAGAAAATGGAAGTTTTGGAGAAAAAAGTGTTGAAAAATTTAAGAAGTTCCCTATCAATTTACGTAACAAAAACAAAAATTGATGATATTGAAGATGGACAAATGAATGTCTATAATGAACAGCTGTCAGATAATTGGAGAATAAATTTAATTGCTTCAATTAAACCATATCTAAATAAGAGGATCTATGAATTTTATTTAGACAAGGAAGGAATAACAAAAGAAGTTGAAAAAATGGTTGATTCGAATAACGAAATAATCAATTTTAATTTCTAATTTAACAAAATGTAGCAGAAGAAAAAGAAGATTTAAGAAATTCCTTTAAAATCTTTCCTTTCGAAGCCTTACAAACAGAGTTGCGTCGTAATCGAAAATTTTTTTCGTAATTCATTTCTCCTGTAATTTTATTAAAAAAGGTGGGGTTTTTGGTTCTAATTGACTTTATGAGTCCGATCAGAAAATAATTGGATTTTTATTCGTATTGCAAAGTAAGGGTATGGTTCTAAAACATTTTTTCATATTCGGGACCTACGCCCATTGGAACTTATTTATTAGTAGCGTTAGGGGGTCAGATCCGGCACGGTCCGAAGGATGGAGTCGGGCATTGAATTTTGGTACGAAAAAGCTCGGTCGGGCCGGCCAGATAAAAATGAAGCCCGAAAACAATGACTGTAACGTCGGCCCGACTCGAAAACCCCAACCCTATTTATCATTATGTTATCTATTTTTATTTATCCGTTCATTTATCCTTAGAAAAAAAACTTTATGATTATTCTCATCCAAATAAATTTTAAAAACTCAAAATTAACAAAATTTTATTGAAATTTTGAGATCATAAATTAAAATTAAAAAATACTATAAAAAATAAACTTTTTTTAAAATAAATTAAAAAAATGTTTAAAATAAATTATCTCTTCTTATACCAACTTCGTTAATAAATCCATTTATTGGTCTAAAAAATAAATTTTATAAACTGATTTTTAACAATTTATTTACCTATTAATATTTGTTGTTGTATATTGCATACTATTGCTATGCCTTAATTGATAAGGAGGTGCTGCTGTTGGGAATTCTGGCATAGCAATTGTAAAATTTGGTGGAGGGGGAGGTGGTGGTGATTTTGGGGGGTTTAGATGAACTGAAAAATTTTTTAATAAATTGTTTTAGTTAAATCAAAATTTGGTTTGTTATACCGTATATACTCAAATAATTATTCAGGGTTATTATTGTTTAAATCTCTCACTGGAGAAAGTAATTATAGTAATAGAGATGGGGTAATTACTTGAGTAAATGTGGTAATTATAGAGCTAGTGAGTTTGGAACCAAATTACTTTGAATTTTTTCTCTGAAAATATCTTAGAAAATCTAACACTGATAATTTCAGAAAATCAGGAAGAAAATCGAAAACATAGGGTGGTCCAAAAGACGGACTAAACGAAACCCAGAGCGCTTACTCAGAATATAAAAATATAAATTAAAATTAGTACATTTTTGGGTTTCATCATTTTCTTCAAAATTATCTAGCTGTACAATGCTTGAATAATAATCTTCTCCAGTAGATGAAGATGAAGAAGAGGAGTTTTCGTTACTATTAGAAGATTGGTGTTGTTGATGTTCATTTGAAACCTTTTTTAATTAAATTTAAAGAAGAAAAAAATTTTTTGGGTAAGAGATAGATAACCCAGTCAACGATCCTACGACCTCCTGTTCATAGTCATGTACTTATGAGCTACGGGGCTATGGTTTATTGTGTGATAGATCTTAAACCTCCGTCTAGTATGCGTTGACCCCCGTCATCTCATTAATGAGATGATCTCCCTTCCTGATCTCCCTCCTCCCTGATGGAGGATAAGGATCTGATCTTCCTTCTTCCTTACATAAAGTATAAAATCTTTCCCCTATTTTAGAGATTAATTTTATCCTTCCTAAAATCGTTAAATCTTAGGGTAACCAAATATATAAAAATTATATATTTATTTATTTAAATTACAAAATATATTATTTTTCACAATTTTGGGCAAGAGAGGACAATTGAAGATGAATGAATGATAGGTGAATGTCCTCTCTTGCCCTAAATTTATACGAACAATTTATGTGGGTGTATCAAAAATATTTTATTCCAAAAAAGAATATTTTTAAATTTATTCGTCATCAAGAAATGACATAAAGTAACTTATATTGAATAAAAAAATTAATTTATTCTACCTTTAAATTTAAAAGTGATTCTCTTTTTTGATAATCAGTAGAGTTTAAAAGAACTTTAGGACAATTTGCACAACCATAAAAAGGGCAATGTAAACTATAATATTTAGAAAATATCTTTAATTATTTTTTAAAAACCTTTTAATTCCTTTTTCTTTCCCTTTTTCATAAATTAAAGATTCAATGTATGTAGAACCCGTAGAATATAAATATGGCTGTTGTTGTTGTTGGGTACCGATAATTAATTTTGGGAAAAGAAGGCTATTATTGTGTTGATTTTGTTTGTTATTTATTTTTTGATTCTTTTGACTGAAAAATTTTAAGAAATATTTTTAAAAATTTAATTAATTTACAAAAAATATTTTCTTTCCAAATATTTCCCTTCCCAACCATCGAATCTTAATTAGAGCCCGTACCGAGCGAAATCTCTATACTTGTATGACAAAATCAAATAATACTTGAAAAAAATATTGGTTATCGAGATTTTCTGAGATATCGATCTTAAACGACATTACAGTCCGGGCTTTAATCTTAATACAGTATGACCTCACCAATGACAACCTGTCTGCATGAAACTCTCCTATTAACAATAGTTTCTCAGCCCGAAGGTAAGATAAGCACCACTTGTACAACACCCAATTTGACGTCGGGTTTTTCAAACTGTTAGGTGCCGTACACATGAGGTCCAACTGTAAAACTAACACAAAAGGAAGGTCCGTTATTTTAAGAAAATGGTTAAATTGAGGGGGCACTATATTTACTATAATTCTAAAAATCCAAATTTACCTATAACAACAACAACAATCATTATTATCAGATATAATACTTGTTCTTCTACTATTATTTACTTTTGTAGTACAACAAAAACAGTACAAAAGTAGAATAATACTTGTAAACATTAATAAAGATAAACCGCTAATTATTGTTGTTATAAAATTATTTTTAAAAATTTTTATATTTTCTTCTTTTTCATTTTCCAAGAATGGTGATGATATAATTTTTATATTTTCACATTCGTTCATTTTCTGTTTTTAAAAAAATTTTTTTTAATTATTTTAAAGTTAAATTAGGGGTTCATGTAATTGGGAAGTGGATAAGATGATAATCTTCGTTAATTCCTCAAAAATTATGAACGTAATTTAAAGTTAAAAATTATGGCTAAGGGAAAGACTATCCCCTTCTATTCTATTATTTTTTTTGCTTTTAGTAATAAGTATAGACTGAAAGGTTCATACAAGAATCGAGCTTGATGAATCAAACTTAACCATATAACCGAGATTTGCGTTCGAGATCTTGTCATTGAGGTATATTTGAGGTTCTCTAGTGATCAGATATAATACATATTATTATACTTCGAGTATCCATGTTTGAGGGTCTTTTTCGATTTCAGATTTTCAAAAAAATTTATTTATAGAGCTGATTGTAATTTAATTAATTTAAAAAGCTAACTAATTATTTACTTAAAGTGACAGGATGAGGATCAAAAAGTTTAGAAAAAAATTAACCTTATAATTAAATTCAATTAACGGAATATTAATATATTCATTTGGTTCTTTACATAAAACTTTTTCTACAAAATTATCACCATTTGATTTAATTTTTTGAAGAATTTGGGGAAGAAAAGAAATTAATTGACAATCACAATTCCAACGATTTCCTTAAAAAAATTATTTAAATTAATTAAAATATTAAAGAGATCTGGGCTCTTATCTAAAAGAATTTTGTGTCTTTGCTATATTTGGCCATAATTTGGGAAACATCTAAATTTATATTTTATACTATAAATTTAGGATGGTTATAACTAGGGTTGGTTATGAACAAAACTTGAGAACCGAAAATTTCTTATTTCAGATATCCGAAGATTCTCCAAGAATCCACATTCTACTAATGGTCTCACCATCACAAAATCAAAAACAGAATTTTTAAACGGCCAAAATTAATCTAGAATTAAAAGTGGAATCTCGTTAATACAATTCACCTAATATACGTTATAAAGCTAAATTTGTTGTTTTAGATTCATGCCAGCTAAGTTCGGTGATCGGGATTCAACTAGTAATGGGTCTAGCACAAAATCTGGACCCAAAAATTTTTTTATTTGAATTCTACCTTCCAATTTCAACATTTTAATTTTTTTCCAGTCCAAAAGCAAAACAGACAAATTAGATAATTGGCAATTAGATAGATCCAAATATTTAATATTTGTTTCCAATTTATTTTCTAAAAAATTTCCAAAAGCTTTTTGATCAATTTTAGAAAGAAATATTGAATTTGCAAGTGAGAGACTTTCCAAATTTGGAAGTAAAGTAAAAGAATTTTCCTAAAAATTAATTAATTACAGAATTGTTTCTAAATTTATTTATACTTGTATTTCTCTTAATTGAACCATTTCTTCAATTTTTAGAGTTTTTAAAGTTGAAATATTAAGTGGAGGAATCTGAAAAAAATTATTTTTTACGAGTTTGAAGACTTTAATTTCAATTGCATCGCGATTTGATATACACCTTTGATTTGAGGTTGTTTACAAATGTGGATATATTAAAGCGACACAGCTATTTCGGGTATATATAAAATCGAGATCCAAATGTATACTAAAAGGCTGATCATGGCTGTTTATACTATAGTTTAATCATGGATTATAAAAATATTTTCAATAATGAAATAAGGATAGCTAGAAAAAAGTAGAGAATAATTAATGGCGGCGATTTGAAATTTTAAAAAATTTTCGAAAAAAATTTTAAGCATTGAAAAAATTTTATATTGAAGAATAGAGACAAGAGGGAAGGTTTGGTAAAATTGAATGACTAAACTCATAAATCAGCCAATAATTAATCACTCAATTAGCCAATTAGAAAAATTCTTCCCCTCATTATTTAAGCCTATAAGTTAATTTTACCTTCATCCAAGAATTTCCAGAAAGGTCCAAAAATTCAAGTTTTTGAGGAAACAAATTTTTTATTTTAGATTCTGTTGGAATTTTATTATTATTCGATTCTGATACAAACGAAGAAAGCTTTAGAATATTTTTAAATTAAAGAAAAATTTTAAAAATTTTTTACCAAATTTTTTTCAAGTTTCAATTCCCGTAATTCTTTCAATCCAGAAAAGGCATCAGAAGAAATAAAACTAATTAAATTTGAACTTAAATCCAATTTAATAAGTGAAGGTAATGAATGGAACTGATTGGGAGGTAACTAAAAAATTAAATTTTTTGAGAAACACTAAAGAAATTTTATTTTAAAATTAAATTTGTGATAATTTAATGAAAAATTTAATATTTTTTCTCAACTCTTTCAGGTAAAATACGAATTTTAATGGGATAGAGATCGAATTTTAAAAAATTGCTGGAGCATGCCAATGTACCGCGAGCCCACTATACCGCAGAGCTGTAACTTCGTTCAAATCCGGATGCCGGATGTCTGGAATCCGGATGTCTTGGTATGCTTCGATGCGTATTGACGAGCTGAAACGAACCATGCTAGTGCCTCCCTGATTCGACCACATTGAACGAAGTTATAGCTCTGCGGTACATTGGGCTAGTGGTACATCGGGGTGTACCCCAAAAAATATATAAAGTTAGCTAAACCCAAAATTTTGATCAAAATTTAATTTTGCCATTTATCCGATCTCTTGATAGAGATTTTGGCACAGTGGTTTGTCTCCTACTCCGGAGCACAAATCAGAGTTTAGTTGTGAAAATGGCCTAACCCCGACTCTTCCCATACACCCAAAAGAAAATAATACCTCAGCCAATAAATTCCCAGCAAGTTTCAATTCTTCCAAATTTTCAATTCCTTCAAATAAACTTTTCTCTAAATTAATTCCTTCATTTTTAATTTTTATTTTTTCAAATTTTGAAATTCTATTTCTCGTCAAATCC